CTTGTTTTAGCACAGTGTTGACTGTGTGGTCATCTGAATCCATGCTCTAACACAATATCTGAACACCTGTGAGGCACCTTGTCAGAACACAAACATCTGCTTTGTGTCTTTATACTAAACGGATAGGACACCAAGGAACAAGTACTGGGCCTTAACCCTGTGATTACCAATCTAAGTGAAGTTTTCAGAGCAAGGAGGACATGTATTTAGGTAAATGAGTAAGTTGTCCTGGCTTATTTTATCTTTTCTCTGATTATTTTATAATGAAGGTAAAGTGACAATCATTGTGCACTGTCCTCCCCTAAAGAAAAGATTTCCTCAAGGAGCTTCTCCTTCTAACGAATGTCCCTTTCTCGCTCCCTTGGCTGTCTGCCTAGGAGGCATTTCTAGAGGTAGGAGACTTCTGAACTCCCAGAAAATAAACCAGCATTCAAGTTCGTTTTGGTAATAAAAAAACAGTATGAGTAAAGTCAGAAAAAATGTAGTAGAAAAAAGCATAAAGAATAGCAATTGTATCTAAGGGGATTAGTAATTTACAAAATACTAATGATCAAGAGCAATATAAAAATCTCTCAAATCGTATGATTTCTGGACTTGCAGGAAGAGAGAGAGAATATTATTCCAGAAGTAAAAGGCTCTTTTCCAAATCCTTTCAAACTAATTGTGATCTTTTCCAGAGGGAAAGCATTCTTGAGAGTTTGTGACTATAGCTATTTATATGGAGACCTCAGCAGTCAGAGCAGACCAAACACTGTATTTCCTTCTGCTTCTAAAAAGAAGAAACCGGTCCTCCTTCAGGATTCATTACATACTTCTCTCCGGACACGTCCTAGAAAACAGTTCTTACAATTAGAAAATTTGGGATGGAGACATTTCCCCCCTCTGGAAATCTAGTTTGGGGCCAATTTGTTTGTTAGACCATTCAAAGTGAAGACAAAAAACTCAGTTTCTCAAGGGGTGCTATGCAGCAATAGTAATTAAAACACTTCACTAATGTAAAACCTAACAAAGTTTCCACACATGGAAAACTACTCCAACTAGCTATTAGTGCAGAGTAACTATTTTACTACCTTTGAAAAGCACTTGTAGTAATTTTTTGGTAGAAATATAGAATAGAGTGCTACATGTGTTTCATTAAACTTCTAATTACTGGAGAGAAACACTTTTTCCACAGAGAAATAATTTACTTGGCTCTTAAGTAAATCTTATGTGTTTCCTTTTGAACACTTTTGGAGGCGCTGTTTGTAAATGTAGGGAAGTTCATTTCTAACCAGGCTTGGGCAGGGGCTGTAATTCTTGTATCACTGCACAATGCTTTGACTATATTTTTATTTTGCTTGGAAAAAAATTTATTGATTGAGTCTGTTTCACCTCTATAACAAAATGTACATGATATTTCATATACCAATGCAGAAAAGCATAACGCTCTCATGCTCTACTATGGAGGAGGAAGATTTCCCCATATGGGTCCAAGAAATGACACAAGGTGTAGAGTAAATTAAAATCTAAGATGTCAAATGTGGTTATATGAACTCGGAATTTTTGTTCAAAAAATACCTAAACATGAAGAGCGATGCTAAAGCTCCCTGTGTGATCACTCTTGCTTCCATTATGAAACGTGAATGTTAACAATTCTTTACCTACGTTGAAAGCTGAGAAAGCTTCCAATTGCAAATGGAGTTGCAAGCTTAAAATGTTAACTTTTTAAAAAATGTAAGAGGTTTCAAAAGGAAAGAATCCATTTTTTTCTCCTTGAATTTGCAGTTTGTTCAAGAACCTTAAATTTTAATACTTTCTTTTCTAAGAATGCATAAAAAATTGCCTTCCAACAGTTAAGGGCTCTTCTTGAAAATCAATTGTTTTGCCCTGTGGGGACCTTACAGTCTACCCTACCTCTGGAGAAAATGGGCAAGGGACGCTTAACAAGAAAGTTACAAAGGGAGTAAAGAGAACCTAGAAAAGAACTCCAGTACCAAGGAAAGGGGTCCTCTAAAGCAGACCCGGAAAGAAGCTACCACAGCTGTCCCCTTAGGGGAATTTTGATAGTTTACGTTAACAAAGGGAATTCGCTCTATGCAGCTTACAGGGGGAGAAAGCAGCCCACTCTCCTATTTGAAAGGCACACATGTGTTTATAATGTAGAGGAGGGAATAAAGACAACGGGCACCTCCTTTCTAATTGCAATTCCTGGGAAAGGTTGCGAGCGCAGGGCCACAGATTTCCCGTGACTCCTCCGTCGCCTGCCCTTGGTCATTGCACTAGTTGTGTGTGGATATCCTCATGACTTCTGCAGCCGTAACTGGACAGCTCTCTGGAATCACGGGAAGCCACCCTGCATGGCCACACCCTTTCACTGCACCTTCAATATGACCCTGTGTAGAACACCACCATTTATTTACCTACTTGGCCGTCCTTAGCAACACCAGAACCTTTGAGAAGTGCGCGGAAGAGGTGGGGAAGGGCTCCAAGAGGAAAACTCCCCGCTCCCAGAGAACGCATGCCCCACTGAGCCCACTGGCCCGGACCCCCGGCTGGTACCTTGTCGGCCTGGGGGCTGACTGCGGTGCCATATCTACAGTAAGTCACAAAGTGCTCGCAGTTGTTCCACAGCAAGCTGTAGGGGCACAAGCCCAGCCGCTCCTCGGCCCTCCGCGCCACCTCCTCGTTGAGCAGCGCCTTCTTCCTGAGAGACTCATCCAGGTGATTGACCAGGACGTCGGCTCCGTAGGCGAAGTCCTCCACGGTGTCCACGCGGATGCTGGCCACCTTGACGATGACGCCCAAGAGGAGGCGCTTGTTGGAGACCACCTTCTGGGTGCGCGTCTGGTCAGCGGTCAGGGCCAGCAAAATGTCAGGCATTAGGTGGGCGACGCGGTTGTCGCCCAGGTAGATGCCATAGTGGGTTAAGTGGGTCCGAGGCACCTCCAGCACATCACCACGGAGGAAAGAACTGACCTCGTAGAATCGGTTGCTTCTCCTGTCTTCTTCCGGAGCGCGCAGGCTGAAAAGCTTTAAACTGGACACGAAGAGCAGCTTCTCTAGCAGTAAGGACACCGCCTCCCCCATCGCGTTCTTCATCCCGAAGGGAAGAGAGGCTCTCCGGAGCGGTGCCACGGCGCGGTCCCGAGTCGGGCTGCAAGGGGAGCTCGCGGGTCAGCGGAGCCGCGCCGCTCCTCACCCGCTCGCCAGGCGCGGT